GACATGGCGTCGGCGGCTGTTGGCCGGAACTGCGCTTCGACTGCCTTGGTAGGCTTGAACAGCACATTCGAGCGGCCGTAGCCGTAGAGCTCACCGGCTGCCTTGGTGGCAGCTGCAACATAGTCACCTGCGTCAGGGGTGCATGAGGTGACCCTCCCGAAGCTGAGAACCCTCCGAACAAATTTAACACCTAACGAGCAAGCTGAAATGGAAGTCGTGGAAGTCCCGTGCTAAGGCGCTGCATGGTTCCTGAATCATCGAATCCCTGAGGCCCTCTTCCTGGAGGTAGGAGAGAATTCCAAGAAACCTCATGGAGAGGAGAGCAAGGAAAGAGTGTCCTGCCAAATTTAGGGATATTAGCCCCAACAACAGAGTATCAAATGGGAAAAACATGGAGAGTCAAATGGATACTAGGACTATAAAAGAATGTATAAGGGGGCCGCTCCTTGTGGAGATGTCTGCAGTCAGGCAAGGGAGGGGCTTGGTCAGCAGCACCATCTTTTTCTGAGGTGGGGTTTAGGCTTTAGATTCCTCAAGCAGTTCTGCCCCCGGTGCATTGCTAAGGTTTCAAGTGGCTCGAATTCTCAACGGATATTTATTTGATTGCAGAATACAAAGAAATAGATGCTAGCAAGATAAATCGGGAATAGGTGTTGAAGCGTTCATAACGCAGTTGCCACGAGTTGTGGCACGCTGTGTTCATTTGTGGGGGGGAAGAGCGGAGAGGGTGGCCTGCTCATTGTCCTCTGCTTTCTGAAGCTGCTGCTTAAAGGGGTTATATGAAGGATTCTATAGGGAACTGCAATAATTAGGGGTTATGAAGTAAGGGGGGTACTAGGAGTGTAACCATGGTTCATATAATTATTGTAGAAGGCTCGTGAGGGTGCTGCTATGTGGGATTGCATGTGGATTATTTGAGGACACCCACCTCCATCCAAGTAGGTCTTGGAGATTTTCTTGATAGCGCTTGCCCAAGCCGCCTGAGCCTTTTGCACATCTTTCTCACTTATTGTGTTGGAAGGGGCGGCTGCCGGAGAAGAGGTGAAAGGTACCGAGGAATGG